TGTTCTCTCTGAATTTTTTCACGGGTTTCGTCTTGTTGTTTTTGTCGTTGAGTGCGCTGATCCACGTTCTTACTCATTTGTTTATAGTTAGTGCATAAAGATTAATTATTTAATTAATTAAAACTTTAGTTTACGATATGCGATTTGCATCGCGAAACGCAAAACCTCGCGCTTATTTTTTTTTCGAACGTTTTCGACTGATTGGCTAATTGTTTTTCCGGAGCGTTAATAAAACACGTCTGCACGCAGCCGAATTGAATTGGTTATCGGTATGATCTCTATTTTTTGGGTCCCCTATCCGTTAAGAGTCAGCCTGTAAGTTGGTCGATCAGCAGGTCCCCCATCCGGAGGATTTAATAAAAGAGCTTAGACTCTTCAGGTTAGTCTGCGATATTTCGGTCAGGTCATTTATGAAAGGATATCCTAAGTGTTTCAGTCTGAGCCTGCAAAGGGCTGGGCATGAACAGAGTAGGTGTTCCACCGTTTCCTCTTCTTCCTCATCCCTGCAGCTTCTGCAAAAATCGTTTTTTGGGGCTTTTAGCCTGCCGGCGTGTGCGCCAACGAGCCAGTGGCCTGTGAGTACTCGAATTAGCATGCTGCACTCAGTGCGGCTGAAATTGAGTAGTTCTGATGTTTTCTTATTGTTTATTACAGGCCATGTCTGGTGAGAGATTCGGCATTGCGGTGTGTTTTGCCAATAAGTGTTGGCTAATTTGCTGAAGTGGTTTTTAATAATTAGCTTACAAGTAGCCATCGGCATGCCGACATTCTCCTTTCCTGGAAGGAGAGGTATGGTGGTGCCTTGCCTGGCTAGCTCGTCTGCTATACAGTTGCCTACGATATCCCGGTGACCCGGAACCCATATAAGGCTGACAGTAAACTGATTAGCCATCTCGTGGAGAGATTTGCGACAGTCTGCTATTGTTCGGGAGTTTGTGTTTGTCGAGTAGATTGATTTAATAGCCGCTTGGCTATCACTATATATGTTTATGTGTCTGTTCTGGGTGTTTAACTCCCTTAAACAGACAAGTGCTTCCATTATAGCGTACACTTCCGCTTGGAAGACACTGCAGTGGTCAGGAAGTCTGAAAGACCGCCTGATCTCTAATTGCTCGGAGTATATGCCTCCACCTACGTGTCCGTCTAGTTTGGAGCCGTCTGTATATAGACAGATTGCGTCTATTGAGCCCGGTCGGCCACGATCCCAAACTTCCCTGCCTGGGATCAGAGCTTCGAAGGGCGTGTGATTGTATTCACGGGTTTTACATAGATCCGTTTTTGGCGGGATCAATTTGTCATGCTGAAGAATCTTAGCGTGACCATACAGTTGGGCTTTCCATTGCCCTGTATCCCTTAGTCGAATGGCTGCCGATTTCGCCCTTTCCATTCCTGCTAAGTCCAGGCTCTGGAGGTTCAAGATCGCATTCAGCGCTTCGTTTGGGGTAGTTCGAAGGGCTCCACTCATACACAAGGCCGCCATGCGCTGTACTTTGTTAAGTGGAGTTAAGATACATTGTTTGTGTAAAGCGGTCCACCACAGAGCCACTCCATATAGTAGGATTGGCTTGACTACCGCTATGTATATCCAATTGACTATTTTAGGAGACATACCCCATCTTAGCCCAATTGCTTTTTTACAAGAGTAAAGTGCAATGGTCGCTTTCTTGGTTCTCTCTTGGTTGTTTAGTCCCCATTTAAGACGCTTATCTAATACTAACCCCAAGTATCTTGCGTGCTCACTAAAAGAGAGATTACAGTTGTTTAAAGTGGGTGGGTTAAGTTTAGGGATTTTGTATCTATTTGTAAAAAGGACTAGTTCCGTTTTTGAGGGATTTACCCCAAGTCCGTTCTTTGTAGTCCATTCCGATAGTGTTTTTAGTTTTGCGGTCATAAGATCGCATAACGTTTGTGGGTATCTACCATTAAAGATGATAGCGACATCGTCTGCGTATGCCACTATTTTACAGCCTCCGCCTTCAAGAATCCGCAGTAGTTTATTTACCGCGATATTCCATAAAAGGGGTGATAGTACACCTCCTTGCGGAGTGCCTCTGTTCACTAATCTAGTCTGGGTCGAGGTCCCTAGTGTGGCCGTGACCAATCTGCTTATCAGCAATTTGTGGATCAGCCCCACCAGCGGTGGCTCAACCCCTAGTTCAGTGAGGGATTCTGTTATTGCCGTGGGGAGCACGTTGTTGAACGCTCCTTCTATGTCAAGGAAGGCGATCAAGTTGTATTCTTGTATACTGAGTGATTTCTCGATGTTGCTTACTACCAAGTGTAGCGCCGATTCGGTCGACTTACCTTTGGTGTATGCGTGTTGCGCCTCTGATATCTGCGTCGGGTCAATGATGTCTCTAATATGTAGACCTAACAGTCTTTCTAAGATTTTTAGCAGGAATGATGTCAGACTTATCGGTCTGAAATCCTTCGCTGTAGTATGGGTGGCTTTCCCTGCTTTAGGGATGAAAACGACTTTCGTTTCCCGCCATGCTGTAGGTAGTTCACCTACTGCAAGAATGGTCTGGAATATTTTTCTCAGCCAGTTTATAGCTAGTTCTCCTGCTTGTTGAATATGTGCCGGTGTTATATTATCCGGTCCCGGCGATTTGTATGGCTTAAAACTATGAATGGACCAGTTTATATTACGGTCTGATAGTAGGAGATTTAAGTTTATTCCTTCTCCGGTGTGTCTTCCTGGGGGATGTCCTGATTGTAGGCTCCCTGGGAAGTGAGCGTCTAGGAGTAGGTTTAGGGATTCTTCACTAGAATCCGACCATGATCCGTCAGCCTTTTGGAGATAGCCTAGGGATACGGCTGTCTTAGAAAGTATTTTTCTGAGCCTTGCGGCATCAGTTGTCTTTTCAATGTCCGAGCAGAAGTTCTGCCACGCAGTTCTCTTCTCTTTTCTAATGGCCTTTTTGTATGTGGCTAGTTATTTTTTGTAGCTTTGCCAGTTTATGTCCTCATTTGCAGCTTTCGCTCTGTTGAACAAGTTTCTGCATTTGGCTCTGAGGATTGATAATTGCTGGGCCCACCAAGGAGGTTTTTTTCTTCCCCTTGGTTTCCCTAACGGGCATGCAGCTGAGAATGCCGCGTTGCATGCTTCTGTGAATTTGTTTACTATATTATCTAGCTCCTGAGTGCAAGGAGTGCTTTCTGGTGGCTTCCTGGGGAGGAAGTTCGATAGAATTTCTTTGTATTTATTCCAGTTTGCCCGCCTGGGGTTGGCAAAGCTGACCGGCACAGGTGATATTAGGGACAAAGTTGGAATGTGCTCTTTCGATTTGTCGGTTCGAAGAACTATGTCTAGGGTCAGCGTAATGTATTGTAAGTCCGCATCTATTTATAAAGGCTCTAAATTCTGCCGAAGTGAAACTTGGCTCGTTGTCCGTCATAAGTTTTTTGGCCAGTGGGTATTATTGTAAAATTTCTAAGACCTAGTTTTCAATATTTAATGTATTCTCAATTTCTTTTACTACTAAAAATTTGGAGTATGCGTCAATGCAAGTTAAAAATATTTTTTTATCAGCGTAAAAAATGTCTAAGTGTAGATTTTCTCCCTCCTTTGATGGTATAGGGGCTTCCCCAATCAGAATTTCTGCAGGGTGTCTACAGTATTTGTTTTCGTTGCAAATTGTACAGTTCTTAATATATTCTTTAAGTTTTAAAAATAATTTCGGTCAGTAGTAAAGTCTCGTTATTTGTTTGTAGTTTTCGTCCAGTCCTCTATGGGCACGGCAATGAATTTCCTCAATAATGAGCTTTGTCTTCATCTTTTTCTATGTCTAGAACGAATATTCTTGTAAATAAAAACTTGTTAATGAAATTTTTCTTAAGAGGTTTTTTAATTACGTAAAGGTCTTCAAGGGTACAGTGAAGTCCAATGGTTATGTTTGGTTGAATATATTCTCTAAGAATTGATACTAAATTCTCGGGTGTATCGTACTTGATTATGTGTCTGGTATTGTCGAATATTTTCAATGACTCATGAATGGTGACCCTGCCCGTTGTAATTAGTAGTTGAATTTTAAACTGATTCAAAGGTTTGTTTGTTTCCTCGATAATATTCTGGAAACTGCTTTCTGTTGAGTGGATGGTATTTTGTTCTGAATCTGTTGATTCTGAATTGTCCAAACTTGGATTTTCATCTGAGAGGTGGTTAATTTGGATTCTTGACAATGCATCAGCGACTACATTAGTAGTTCCTGGTTTGTAAATAATTTTAGGACAGTTTTTTTTTTTTTTTTTTTTTTCATTTGCATTTTATTTATTGGATCTTCTCTGAATTGAGACTAACAATAAGTATATAGAATCTTAAATTAAAAAGCTATCTGACAGTCAAGGTGACTGGCGCGAAAATTTAGGGGCTCTAATAACTATTGCTGAGCTGGAAGGTCATTGCGTTGCAATCGGGTCCGGATGGAAGCCCTGGCTAGGCCCCTGGCGAGCTGGTTTGGATGAGAAGTTAGCTTGGTGTGGTAGGACGCTTTTTGTTTTGATATTTCATCTTTTACGGGTAGAATGCCAAGATCTCTGTGGATGTTGTCGTTCCGAACATACCAAGGTGCCCCAGTGATAGTTCTCAGGATTTTTGATTGTGCTCGCTGAATAATGTCGATGTTGCTGCTGCTCGCGTTTCCCCACAATTGGGAGCCGTAGGTCCAGACTGGCTTAAGCGTTGAATTGTAGAGCAGGACCTTGAAGTCCAGGCAGAGGGGGGAGCGCGCGTTTAAAAGCCAATGGAGACTGTTTGATTTTAGTTTTAGGTGAATTTTCTTAGCTTCGATATGTCTTCGCCATGCAAGTCTCCTGTCTAGGTGGATGCCAAGGTACGTTACATCGTCAGCTTGTGGAAGTGGCGTGTTATTCAGGGTTAGCGGGGGACACGTTTGTCTGTTAAGAGTAAACGTTCTGTGTTTACACTTTTGCGCATTAGGTTAGGTTAGGACGGCTACCAGGCTATAGCCTGGTACACTTAGACCTCTGTGGGTCCATTGTGATACCGTATGATCTCTATTTTTTGGGTCCCCTATCCGTTAAGAGTCAGCCTGTAAGTTGGTCGATCAGCAGGTCCCCCATCCGGAGGATTTAATAAAAGAGCTTAGACTCTTCAGGTTAGTCTGCGATATTTCGGTCAGGTCATTTATGAAAGGATATCCTAAGTGTTTCAGTCTGAGCCTGCAAAGGGCTGGGCATGAACAGAGTAGGTGTTCCACCGTTTCCTCTTCTTCCTCATCCCTGCAGCTTCTGCAAAAATCGTTTTTTGGGGCTTTTAGCCTGCCGGCGTGTGCGCCAACGAGCCAGTGGCCTGTGAGTACTCGAATTAGCATGCTGCACTCAGTGCGGCTGAAATTGAGTAGTTCTGATGTTTTCTTATTGTTTATTACAGGCCATGTCTGGTGAGAGATTCGGCATTGCGGTGTGTTTTGCCAATAAGTGTTGGCTAATTTGCTGAAGTGGTTTTTAATAATTAGCTTACAAGTAGCCATCGGCATGCCGACATTCTCCTTTCCTGGAAGGAGAGGTATGGTGGTGCCTTGCCTGGCTAGCTCGTCTGCTATACAGTTGCCTACGATATCCCGGTGACCCGGAACCCATATAAGGCTGACAGTAAACTGATTAGCCATCTCGTGGAGAGATTTGCGACAGTCTGCTATTGTTCGGGAGTTTGTGTTTGTCGAGTAGATTGATTTAATAGCCGCTTGGCTATCACTATATATGTTTATGTGTCTGTTCTGGGTGTTTAACTCCCTTAAACAGACAAGTGCTTCCATTATAGCGTACACTTCCGCTTGGAAGACACTGCAGTGGTCAGGAAGTCTGAAAGACCGCCTGATCTCTAATTGCTCGGAGTATATGCCTCCACCTACGTGTCCGTCTAGTTTGGAGCCGTCTGTATATAGACAGATTGCGTCTATTGAGCCCGGTCGGCCACGATCCCAAACTTCCCTGCCTGGGATCAGAGCTTCGAAGGGCGTGTGATTGTATTCACGGGTTTTACATAGATCCGTTTTTGGCGGGATCAATTTGTCATGCTGAAGAATCTTAGCGTGACCATACAGTTGGGCTTTCCATTGCCCTGTATCCCTTAGTCGAATGGCTGCCGATTTCGCCCTTTCCATTCCTGCTAAGTCCAGGCTCTGGAGGTTCAAGATCGCATTCAGCGCTTCGTTTGGGGTAGTTCGAAGGGCTCCACTCATACACAAGGCCGCCATGCGCTGTACTTTGTTAAGTGGAGTTAAGATACATTGTTTGTGTAAAGCGGTCCACCACAGAGCCACTCCATATAGTAGGATTGGCTTGACTACCGCTATGTATATCCAATTGACTATTTTAGGAGACATACCCCATCTTAGCCCAATTGCTTTTTTACAAGAGTAAAGTGCAATGGTCGCTTTCTTGGTTCTCTCTTGGTTGTTTAGTCCCCATTTAAGACGCTTATCTAATACTAACCCCAAGTATCTTGCGTGCTCACTAAAAGAGAGATTACAGTTGTTTAAAGTGGGTGGGTTAAGTTTAGGGATTTTGTATCTATTTGTAAAAAGGACTAGTTCCGTTTTTGAGGGATTTACCCCAAGTCCGTTCTTTGTAGTCCATTCCGATAGTGTTTTTAGTTTTGCGGTCATAAGATCGCATAACGTTTGTGGGTATCTACCATTAAAGATGATAGCGACATCGTCTGCGTATGCCACTATTTTACAGCCTCCGCCTTCAAGAATCCGCAGTAGTTTATTTACCGCGATATTCCATAAAAGGGGTGATAGTACACCTCCTTGCGGAGTGCCTCTGTTCACTAATCTAGTCTGGGTCGAGGTCCCTAGTGTGGCCGTGACCAATCTGCTTATCAGCAATTTGTGGATCAGCCCCACCAGCGGTGGCTCAACCCCTAGTTCAGTGAGGGATTCTGTTATTGCCGTGGGGAGCACGTTGTTGAACGCTCCTTCTATGTCAAGGAAGGCGATCAAGGTGTATTCTTGTATACTGAGTGATTTCTCGATGTTGCTTACTACCAAGTGTAGCGCCGATTCGGTCGACTTACCTTTGGTGTATGCGTGTTGCGCCTCTGATATGGGTCAGTGATGTCTCTAATATGTAGGTAGTTACCCTACTGCAAGAATGGTCTGGAATATTTTTCTCAGCCAGTTTATAGCTAGTTCTCCTGCTTGTTGAATATGTGCCGGTGTTATATTATCCGGTCCCGGCGATTTGTATGGCTTAAAACTATGAATGGACCAGTTTATATTACGGTCTGATAGTAGGAGATTTAAGTTTATTCCTTCTCCGGTGTGTCTTCCAGGGGGATGTCCTGATTGTAGGCTCCCTGGGAAGTGAGCGTCTAGGAGTAGGTTTAGGGATTCTTCACTAGAATCCGACCATGATCCGTCAGCCTTTTGGAGATAGCCTAGGGATACGGCTGTCTTAGAAAGTATTTTTCTGAGCCTTGCGGCATCAGTTGTCTTTTCAATGTCCGAGCAGAAGTTCTGCCACGCAGTTCTCTTCTCTTTTCTAATGGCCTTTTTGTATGTGGCTAGTTATTTTTTGTAGCTTTGCCAGTTTATGTCCTCATTTGCAGCTTTCGCTCTGTTGAACAAGTTTCTGCATTTGGCTCTGAGGATTGATAATTGCTGGGTCCACCAACGAGGTTTTTTCCTTCCCCTTGGTTTCCCTAACGGGCATGCAGCTGAGAATGCCGCGTTGCATGCTTCTGTGAATTTGTTTACTATATTATCTAGCTCCTGAGTGCAAGGAGTGCTTTCTGGTGGCTTCCTGGGGAGGAAGTTCGATAGAATTTCTTTGTATTTATTCCAGTTTGCCCGCCTGGGGTTGGCAAAGCTGACCGGCACAGGTGATATTAGGGACAAAGTTGTCTCTATAAACCTATGATCTGAAAATGAGTGCTCATTGGAGACAGCCCAGTTTGTGACTGTGTTTATGAGTGAATCTGATGCCAGGGTTAGATCTATGATCGTTTGGCACGTTTTTGTTATAAAAGTAGGGGTATTGCCCCTATTGCAAAGAAATAAATTCGATTTAAGAATGAAGTCGAATAAAGACTCACCTCTGTCGTTGTTGATAGGGCAGCCCCACTGAGTATGGTGGGCATTTGCGTCGCATCCTATCACCAAACCTTTCTTAAGCTCTTCACATTCCTGTACCAGTCCTCTGACTAGCGCGTCTGGGGGGTCTACCTTTTCGGAAGCCATGTAGGCCGATAGCATCCTAAAAGAGCCGCTTTGCAGCTCCAGGCTTATTGCTGTGTTGTCCCCGTTGCTGTATTTGTGAAGCAGAAATGTACTAAGATGCCGTTTGGCTAAAATGCAGGTTCGAATTTTACCTTGTTTGGGGTCAAGCATAAGCTTGTAGTCTTTTGTTCCCAGTCCAGCAACCCTGCCTCCTGCTACCCAGGGTTCCTGAACTAAGACCACGTCGGCTTCGCCTTTGGCCAGGCGAAGCAAAAGAGCAGCGGACGCTGCTTTACTGTGATGTAGGTTGATCTGCAGGAGTCTTAGCGACATCCCCAGCTGCAACCTCCACCACAGTAACGTCGGCCTCCGAATCGCTCAGGTCCACTTCGTCGATTGCCGGTCCCATCGCTCGCATCTCTCTGCTTAGCGACGAGTCGGTTGAATAGCCGTCCTCCGGCACACCAGGGGCCTCCACTTCCTCCGCAAGCACCTGCTCGGCTGGGTTGCCGGCAGGACTTCCAGAGGAATTAGAGTCCCCTTTATAGATTTTAATGTGTATGGCACTGAACCCATAGTTAAGCGTTCCCCGAGCAGCCTCTATGGGAGCGATAGACTCCTTGTTCAGTACCACAATCGCTTGGTTTACGTCTCCTTCGTGCTCCTCCACCTTAACGACTTTCCAGTCTTTTGTGGGGAGATGTGGGTTGCATTCTTGCAACATAAAGAGGATGTCCTCCGGTGATGCAATTGCTGCTGGGAGCCAAATTCTGGCTCGCGGTCTACTGGGGACGTCACACCAATCTAGTGCGACTATGTTCGCCCCTTCGTAGACTGCTCCGAGCTGAGCTACCGCCTGTTTGTATAGGTCAGCTGATCGCTGATTATCGCAGGCCACCACTTTTACACTGCCCTGGTACCAGCCCGCGTCCATACAGCAAGGCGCTGAACCGGGCTTCTCGCGTACCATACGCAGGCAAATGAGTGACAGCTTGGACTCAACCGCCTTCCATTTGTTTCTGGGGATCCTGCTCTCCGGATTTCCCCTGTCAATGAGTCCAAGTAGGACCCGATCTTTGGTGATCTCGGCAAAGGAGACCGACGGCTGGATCCTCGATCTCTTCGCCGACGGGCCGGGCAGCTCTATGGAGCGTTGCCTCTTCGCCTGAGCACCTTCTTGTTGGGGCTTCTCTTGCCCATAGTTGGGAAACACCGTCCTTGCCCACTCTACCTTCTTTAGCCATTCGGGCGAAGGCGTGGCGACAGTGCTTCTGGCATGTGAGCGCAGGGTTTGGGCGGCAGTCCGTCTCTCTGCGTAAGTAAAATTCTTCTTTGCACCAGCGGGTGACCCGATCGACTTTGCTGCGCCTACCACTGGTTTTGGCGCAGATTCGCACATAGCAGAGGCGTTAGCGACAGTCTTTCTGTCCCCCGTCATCCCTAGTTTGGGATGGGGCCCTTTCTGAGCCCTACTGGTACTTGCAGTGGAACCATCGTTCGTCTTTGCAACTCCGGGTTTTTGTGGAGTTCCCGTCTCCGTTTTTTTGTTTGTGTTTTTGTGTGTTGTTTCCATAATTGGTCCCACGAGCTGCGGAGAAGGGGAAAGGTCCGCCCGGGCAGAGATCCGCGTTACCCGGGTAAGGCGGTAGATAGAACAGGGGGTCGCCATCTCCCACCGTTTGAGACTGGGCTAGTTGTTGATCCGGGCCCCCAGCCAGGCTGACTCTTAGCACGCTCGGTCGCCCCAGCTAGGCGGCTTCAGAACCATCTCACAAGTTCCTCAGACCAAGTTTTGCGCATTTATTTTTATACGCCAGTCTGATATCCACCTCTCCACTACAACGAGATGATCAGCTAGTAGTGCTGTTGCCTGAGTTGGGCATTTGGACCGACTTATGATCGCGGTATCGTCTGCGAATGTAGAAGTAGTTAGCCGCTCGTTCGTGGGAATATCTGCGGTGTAGAGGAGAAATAGAGTTGGACCAAGGGCGCTACCTTGGGGAACTCCAGCCTCTATAGCGTAGTCATCGGATGTTGTGGTGTTGCATCTCACGGCGAAGGCTCTGTTGCAAAGGTACGATTCCAGTATCCTGTGAGTGTTTCCTGGCAGGATCGTTCTGATTTTATGGATAAGGCCATCAAGCCAGACTCGGTCGAAAGCCTGTGCAACGTCAAGGAATACCGCACTGCAGTATTCCCGAAGCTCGAATGCAGTCCTTATTTATGTTGTTAATCTGTTGACTTGCTCTATTGTTCCATGGCTTTCTCGAAAGCCAAATTGATGTGCTGGAATAACGTTGTGCTCTTTCAGATATGGAATGATGCGCGTCAGAAGGCATTTTTCGAGCAGTTTTGACAGACACGAGAGTAAACTTATCAGTCTATACGAAGCTGGTATTGTGTGATCTTTCCCTGACTTTGGGATCATTATGATTACCGATTTTTTCCATTTTTTTGGGAAATAGCCAAGTCGTGTAATCCCGTTGAAGAGTTTACAAATAACCTCAACTGCACAGTTTGGAAGTTCGATTAACATTTTGGGAGTTATTTGATCACCGCCTGGGGCCTTTTTTGGTTTCAATTGCTCGCTGATTACTTTTGCAATTTCATTTGGTTGAAACAGAATTGGCTCCGTCTCAGATTCAATTCGAATTGACGGCGACGGTAGTGCGAATGAATTAGTTGCAGGGTTTGGCTGAAAAACATTTCGAAGGTGTAAAGCAAATGTACAAGCTCTGTCTTTGTCGCTTCTGGCCCAGCTGCCTGAAGAGTCTCTTATGGGGATTACTGTTTCGGCCGGCGCACTTAGTTTTGGGTGGGCCCTCCACAAGGGATGCTTAGTGCTGGTGGGTGAAAGTTTCTCAATGTACTGGCGTTGTGCTTTTTCTTCTTCTTGCCTTAGAGCCCTGGTAAGTCTGCGACCAGCTTCTTTAAGACTTTGTTTTGAGGATGGCGATCTGCTGGTTTGCCAAGTACGTCTCAAACGTCTTTTCTCCAGAACAAGCTGTTCGATTTCATGGTTAGTTTTGTGTTGGTGTGTGTGCCCATCCCTCCCTTGCGGTGTTGAGACTTTGGCTGCTGCGCCGAGTACAGACTCCAGGGCATCGGCGTAGCAGTCGATGTCCTCCTTGAGCTGTGGAGTTAGTTCAATGTGGGAACTTACGTACTTTTTGAACTTCAGCCAGTTGGTTCGATGCGACGTCAGCCTGCGAGGGTGCTCGATTAATTCCGGGCTTTGAAGAAGAGTTATTAGCACTGGTGAGTGGTAGATCCAAAAGCGATTTTGCAGATATTAGATTGCGAGAGATGTTTTTTGTCACAGCAAAATCAATTAAATCAGGTAGTTTTCTAGGATCTGTAGGCCAGTATGTAGGGCTGCCTGGTGAAACGTAGTCCAGTTTGTTGCATGTTTTAATGAGTGCATTATATAGTTGCCTTCCTTTGGGGGTCACAAGGCGGGATCCCCAGTGCGTGTGCTTGGCGTTGTAATCTCCTGCTGCTATGAATCGCTCTCCAAGCGAATTGTAGAAGTCCATTAATTGGTCTTCGGAGACTGTAAAGCGGGGTGGGCAGTAGACAGCGGCAATGGCAAGGTTGCAGTTGCCCAACTGTAATTTTATCGAAGTAGCTTGCAGATGATTTTTAGCAAACCGTTGGTGAAAGTGGTGTTTGACGCCGTCTCTTATTAAGATTCCAGTGCCGCCATGCGCTTTACCATCTGGATGATCTGTGCCATAGAACGTGTATCCCCGTATTTGAAAGTTATATTTGCTGGTGAGATGCGTTTCTAACAGCAACATAACGTCGATGTGGTTTTCGTTCAGAAATTGAGTTATTTCAGGTTTATGCCGTGAAACACCGTTGGCGTTCCACAGAGTTATTCGAAGGCTAGGCATGGTTTATTTGGACTGCTGAGCTGCAAGCATTTGTAGTAAGATATTTTGGCTTTGCATAAGGGTTTGCATGGTGGTTTTCATGAAGGACATAAATTCCATCATATTTTGTTGCAAAGTAATCATCATAGATTCCATGTTACTTTGTGGCTGTCCCATGGCCTGCTGGATGTTATCAATTTTCGGCTCTATGTGAGCTGTGCCTGATCTTAGAGCACCGGCGTAAGAAATTCCATTGGTGGTAATTGAGGGGCCAAATGATGATCTGGCTGCTTTTGCGAAGAAAACTTCCGGTGTCGTTTGTGATCTCATGTAAGTGTTTTGTGTGTTCAGGGAGCGTGCCGTTGTTGCTCGTTGCATCCGACTTCGCCTTGTAGACTGGACAGCCTCTGTAGTTAGCTGTGTGGTTTCCTTGGCAGTTTACACACTTTTTAGTGAGAGAGTCTTCCTTATTGGCAGGGCAGGGTTCGGAGCCGTGGCAGTTTCCACAAGCTACACATATTGACCTGAGGGTGCAGTAAGCCCTGGTATGACCGTATTCCTGGCAGTTTGTGCATTGCACTGGTCCGGTCCGTTTGTGCGGCTCTTCCACTGTGATTCTACGGTGCAGAAGGTACTGCAACTTGTAGATCGGGTGCACTGCGTTTTTTTTTTCAAAGTTCTGCTGTCTGGCTCCAGCTCGACCTTGAAGAGTGGTTGCGGCTTCTTGTTTTTGTTCATAATGTTTATAACATTTTTTGCGCAAAAACCGTTTTCTTTTAAGGCCTCTGTAATTTCGCAGGGGGTCACATCGGGTTCTATTCCCTTAAGCACAACTTGCAAACCTTTGCAACTTTTCAGCTGGTACGTGTAGTAATTCTTTTTGGCATCGTTTAAGTACTTCGACACTGCTCGGAAATCGTCTTCGGTTTTGGTTTGGAGTTTAGTTTCGCTTATATTCCCTTTCATAAGCGGAATAACATGAAAGTTATCTTTTCCGACAAGCTCAACTATTTTGTTGACTAGGGCATTCGAGATCTTCTCCCGAATAAAAATAGGTGGGGGCTTTAGTTTCCTTGGGGCTAATTGTTCAGACTCTGTTTCAGGCTCCGCCAGAATGGAAAATCTGTTTTCATCTAATGGCCCGGG